CCCCAAAACCCCAAAACCCCAAAACCCCAAAACCCCAAAACCCCAAAACCCCATTAGGTCACTATATATTTGAAAAATTATGAAATCATATAATAATTTATTAAAATACTAAAGATGAACTTTTATTTTGAAGACCAAGCTCAATTTGCTCATGCTCAAAGCACTACAAGTGTTCCAGAGCTCCCAAGAGCTAGCATGACTGACCAATCGGACTCTCAAGACTCTAGATGTCCAAAAGCACCAGTCCTGAAGCCTAGAAACACTTGTTTCAAATATAACTCCACCAAATGATTTATGCCAAGAGAAGATTCTGTTAAATATACTCCTTTCTTTGTCTCAGATGGAGAGGAATCCTCAGATGGCGACTTTTTCGATAGCACAGGAGACATTCCTTCCATCAGCGAAGAGTCTCAGGGATACTAAACAGCACATTGGTGAACACCAGTAGTACAATATGATACTCATGAACCAGAGTACTCGAGAGTAGGACTTTGGTTCTCTAACTAATTAATTATTACCTAAATTACAATGTAAACCTTCTTTTCCTATCAGGGTTGTGTAAACACTTCAATTTTCTTCTTCGTCCATGAACGAATATTACGTTAACATGTTATTTCTTAAGCCATGAGAAATTAAAGAATTAATCGTACGATAGTAAAGTAGGATTATAAGAATCAGTACCCAAACATGGGTGATATCAAGTAAAGATACCTCAAGAACTAACCAAAATAAGCCAACAAGAAATAAAATTTGTATTTACATATGAGAAGCCCTTTCTCTCAAGGGATAGAGATCGCCTAGTATCTTATTTAGGCTGCTAGAGATGGTGGTCGATCATAAAAACTTACGCTAATAAAACTAAACTAGAATAGAATTTCATTCCGAACTTGTTCGATTTCAAACCACACCTTCCTTGGCTGCTTCCAGCCCCAATGAAGGTTCGAATCAAGCTCAAGACTTTGTTTCAGAAAATTCAGAATAGCAACCGAGTCGCCATAGATCTTTCAAGGTTAGTTATATAGTAATAGTAGTTACTCGAAAATCATCTATTATCCTTCTTAAGCTTCATCGGGCTTGAACAAAGATCTTTCTTCTTTGAATAAAGAAAGCAAGCGCCAATGGAAAAGGAATCAATCAACCAAGGATTCCTTGGCAGATATTTTCAGCCATGTTCGACTTTTGATACCAATTCAGACATAAAAATTAATCAAGAAATTTTCTTCTATGCAATTAATGATTACAGGAAACTGAGGCCAATGCACTCGTGTATCTTTGCCAAGGATCATGGCCTAGCTCTGCCATGAAAATAGGCATTGAAATGAAAAGGCAGAGTTTAAAAATACAGCATGAAGGTATTTGAGTAGACCTTTATAAAGCTAAATGACCAAGAGCTTATTTTTATTTTATAGATTTTAGCTACGAGGCATTTAGAGCTCTTGCGATGTCTTACAGATTCATTAGCAGTCCTAAATTTCTAATAACATGCTAATAGTTGGCTGATGTTGCTGAATTCTGAATATATAGTAAAATATAGTCTGTATTTACCTATTTTCAATATTGGGATGTCCTTTGGGGTTTTGGGGTTTTGGGGTTTTGGGGTTTTGGGGTTTTGGGG